ATGCTTCAAGGACAGTCTCCCAGGCCTGCCCACGGTAGGAGGGGAGGTGCCCCAGCATGGTAGGAGGGGGCACAGTAGGGCAAGGAGGAGCTGGTTGGCAGCCCCCCAAACCATTGGACTGGGGAATTGAGGGGGAGGTTATTCCTGCTGGAGGCCAAGGCCTGACCAAAGCAAGGGACAGGCACTGGGCTGGAGTCAGGCTGTGGGTCCAGCTGCCCAAGCCCAAACCACCATCCTGAAAACAGCTGGGACTGCTCTGCCAAGGCTGGGGGAGGGGATCCCCAGAGAGGCCCTGGCTGGGGTGGGGGGGAAGGAGGTGATTAGGGAGGTTGGCAGGAAGCCAGGCCCTGGGTAGGGAGCAGCTCCTGCAACACGGGGTGTGGGGGGGTGAGGGGTGGGGAGTGGGAGGGTGGGGAGGGCTGCAGGCTCTTCCCTCTCAGGGGGTCCCCCTCTTCTCCTTAGCCTCCACCCCAGGCTGGAGGCCTCCTAGAGGGGACAGCAGACAGCAAGAGGCAGGTGGAGCTGAGCCAGGTGTTTTTCCATTCTAGGTCTGGGGAGAGGATGGGGGGGGATACTGTCAGAACAAGAAGGACACTTGCTCCACAGACTGGGCAGGCCCTCAGTAGACCTCGGTTCCAGACGTGTCCAGCTGAGTCCCTGGGCATGTAGCTGCYTTCTGGGCCTCAGTTGCCCCATGTCATGGTACTAAAGGCAGGAAGCAGGCTATTGCTGGGCTGAGGTGTGGTCAGGGTCCTAAGGGGACTGCGCTGGGGGCAGGGGTGCCTGGACTTAGGCAAGCTTGGGCAGCAGAGGCTCTCACCTCTGGGCCCAGTTGGGTTTTTCCGTTTTTCTTCTCTTTCAGATGTGCAGGGCCTTCCTCCACTGCCAAACTAAACTCAGATATAACCTTAGCCCTGGTCAGCCTGTCCCCTGTTGGCAGACCTTGCTCTGGAGGTCCCCCCTGGTAAGGAAGCCAAGAGCTGAGGCTAAATGGAAGTGGGCATGGAAGGCTGGGGGCCTCAGAAGGGACAAGGAAGGCTTCCTGCAGGAGGCCAACAGGAGTTAGTAAAGAAAGCTCACCAGTAGCCCTGGCCCCCAGGGGGACAAGGGAGTGTATCTAACAAAGGGTGGAAGTGTGACCCACAGGAAAGTTAGGCGGCTCTGGGGGGCTGCTGTGCTAGGCTGGCTGGGCGGGGACAAGCAGAAGACATGCAGAGTCAGAGTGGGAGACACAGGAGACCTARGCTGGGGGTGATGGGGTCAGACATGGGTACCAGAAAGACCTCTTTGGAAGTAGGGAGGGGTACTGCCTACTGCCTCCAGCAGCCAGACAGACGCTCCAATGGCTGGCCTCTGGGATGGACGGAACAGCGAACAGCACCCACTGCCTCGAGAACAGGAGCACAGTGGTCTGCTTTAGGTCTGGCTCTCTCTAGCTGACCYGGAAGACAGCTCGTTCACTGTGATACCCCATAAAGCTTGGGGTCCTTAATATTTAGTGGCAGGAAGGATGGGAAGGAGAGAAGGCAGATCAAGCCACCCTGGCTAGGAATTAGAGATGGCTCCCCTCCTCTGCAGAAAGGCCATTGTGTACAGCTTTCTGGAGCCAGTAGGCCACAGGGTCCTCCAGAAGGGCCAGTGAAAGCCCTCCCTGCTTTCTGAGCCTTTGAGATTCCCCTTTGAGCCACTGATTTCCTCTGAGTGGGGGTGGGGTTCCTTCAGTGTGTGGTAGGCTCCCTACTCCCTGCTCCCCCAGACACAGCAGCAGGCTGCTCCCCCCCACCCCCGCCTCTCTGCACAAGCAAGCTCTGATCTGGAAAGTGGCCCACCTTGGCCCATCTGGTCCCCTCCTTGCACCCCCCTAGGTCCTGTGTATCCTAGACTCCTAAGGGCCTGAGCCCAGGCTGACAGCCATCAGCACTGCCCAGYTGCACTCTCTGCTTGCTTAAGAGGCACAGGGTTCCTGGCCACCAATAGCACCTGAGCTTTTCCCTTAGAGGGGCTTGGAGTCAAAGTCCTGAGAAAATCCGAGATCTTCCATTTCTGGGCTGTGTGGACCAACAAGTTGACTCCCCTCCTCTACAGCTTGCACTACAAGAAGTGAAGGAATGGGAGCCCGACATGTGGAAACGGTGCCTTCTTGTCTGAAGAGCCAATTGAGGTTAAGAGTGTGGGGGCCTCCCAGAAGGAGGCAATTTCTATAGCTGGGTCTGAAAGGATGGAGGGAAGCACTGCTGTGTGTCTTCAGACAAAGCACCACACTTCTCTGTTTTTCTGCCTCTAAGATGATTACCCCCACCACCTTTCCTCTGGGGTGAGAGAGAGTCCTCTGAGGAAGGGAAAAGATTTGTAAATAGCAGGTGTGACCTCATTAGTGGGAGTGATATTATTATTAATAACCATAACATAACGAACCAAGGTTCAAAGAGCTGACCCTTTACCTTGCCTTCCCAGGAAGTGAAAAGTAATCTGGGGCAGGTGGAGGAGGGGGAGGGTGTACACCCCCTTGGAAGCATGTGCATAGCTAGGGTGGGGGAGGGTATAATCAGCTTTGGGCTTTTCTATACTACTTGTCTTTGTTAACTCCACCCAGGAAACCCACAGAAGGACAGACTCTTCTGTTCTCTGCTTGATTCGCTGCGCCTTGCAGTCAAAACACCACTTCTCTCCAAGACTGTGGTGCTAATGAAAACACGAGGGGCCTCCCAAGGCCTTCATCTTGTGAGGACTGCCTTCATTTACTAGAGACTCCGCACATGGCACATGACCTTCAGGTTAGAGAGGAAAAGGTCAGAATCTTAGGGCTTACAATCTCCAGACACCCCCAAGAGCTTCCCACAGTGATGCTATTTGACACCATGATCTATAAGGTAGGTTTTCACTGTTCCCATTTTGTGATAAGGAAATCAAGGCTCAGAATATTACAAAGTAGCTCTCAAGTCCCCCATTCTGTGTCCTTTCTTTGGTAGTCCAGGGTGTTTATCTGAGGCTACAAAGGAAGGGACAATGGGACTGCTGTCTTTGGGAGGTGTTCCTGAATTCGGATAAATGACTCAGTGACTCAGTTGGGCTGCAGAACCTTAGCTGGCTCTTGGGGTCTCTGTTCATCCTGACCTGGTGGGGTCTTACTCAGGCTCAGGGAGATTGGAGAGACCACCAGGCACTCCTGAGTACACAACTTGAATCTCCTAGACCCCAAAGCCAAGGACACTGTCTTCCTTCCTGCCCCTGCAGAGCAGGATGGGGAGTAGGGGCTGAGCTGGAGGAGGGTGAGGAGAKGGCAGAGCTGGTCAGGAGCAAGAACAGGGAAGAACAGCTTGTGYGAAAGGGGCTGTCAGGCTTGACTCTGATCTGCAGGAAAGAAGCACTTTCCTGATCCACACCTGTAATCCCAGCCACTTAGGAGGCTGAGGTAGGAGGATTGTGAGTTCAAAGTCAGCCTCAGCAATTTAGCGAGGCCCTAAACAATTTAGTGAAACCCTGTCTCAAAATAAAATATAAAAAGGGCTGGGGATGTGGCTCAGTGGTTAAGCGCCCCATTGCAAAAAAAAAAAAAAAAAAAAAGGCACTTTCCTGATGCTAAGGTGTGGCTGCAACAAGATCCCCAGGCTGGGAGCCAGATGATCTGGGTTTTTGTCCTAGCCTGCGGTGTGATTTTGGGAAAGTCCCAACCCTCTCTGGGTCTCTCCTCCCCAGATCTTTCCAGACTCTATTTCTAAGGTCCTTCAAGCTCTAAACTAAATGACACCTTTCCCCTTTCCCCAGATGACCTCACATCCTCTTCCTAATCCTACCTGGAGCCCAGTCCCTCCAGCAGCTTCCTGATTCTTGGCACCTGTGGCCTCAGGCCTGCCTCTTCTGTGACTCAAGCCGCCCTGACTTTTGATTTGGAGGAAGAAGCCTAGGTGGTTTTGCCCCTGAACTTGTTCTGCCCTTTGGCATGTCCACCTATCCTCTTCTCTCACTGCACACATCTGTCTCCAGTCCTTGGGCAGCTAAGGAACTACAAGGACCAGATTCTTTCAAGAAAGGAGCAGTACAGAAGGAGCCTCAGCTAACAATCAGATGGCCCAGAGCCAGGGCAGCGGCAGCCCTTTCACCTCTCCAGCCCCTCTTTCCAATGCACCATTCCCAGCCCAAGATGCTCCACCTCCATCAGGCCCCCCAGGTTACACATGTTCAGGCCAGTTCTGAGGGACACTTGCCAGAAAGATTCAGAGATATCTACCAGGCCTCTTAGCAATCCCTCAACCTACAGCACCCTCCTTCCTGGCCCACCCCWGAAGTGGGACGCTTTCCTCAGACAGCTCCGGTACCATAACAGGGTCAAAATACATGTCTGGAATTTGCTCTGTTGAGGCCTTCTCCTCCCGRCTTTAATATAACTAGTACGTCAAGGGAGTCAAGGCGCCTACTGTGTGCCAGATAGTTTAAGACAGTCTCTTCCAAGCTTGACAACACAACCACTACGAGACCACTAAGAGGCAGACAGAATTCCAGATTTACACATGAGGAAACTGAAGCTCAATGAGGTCAACTGGCAGGCGCAAGGTCACATAGCTAGAAAGTGGCAATGAATGGCCAGGCGCGGTGATGCCTGTCTGTAGGAGACTGAGTCAGTCTTGACAACTTTTCGAGACTCTATCTCAAAATTAAAAATAAAAAGGTTGGGGATGTAGAGCTCCCCGGATTCAATCCCCAGTGCGAAGGAAGAGCGGAAGGAAAGAAGGGCCAACGAATGAATGATCCAACGGAATGACTAAACCAGCGCAGGTGACCGGCCCGCCAGGCAAWGTGGTTCGCGGAGCGCTGCAGGTACAGACTGTGCATAGCGCCCGCGGCGAGTCGCCAGAGAGTTGGCCCCCCGCAAGCCCTCTCGTGGGCCCTAGGGAGCTCGAGCTCCCAGAGGCGCGGCCGGGCTCTGCCCCCACCCCGCGGGCCGCCCCGCCCCCGCTCCGCCCCCAGTCCGCCCCGCCCGGGACCGCAGACGGCGCCCGGCGGCGGCGCGAACGGCAGCGCGGAGGGTGGCTCTGGGCTTGGCTCAGTGACTTCCCGCGCAGGGCCGGGCGGGACAAGGACCTGCTGCGTAGGCGGTCCTGGAGGATGCGGCTGCAACCTCAGGCAGCGGCAGCGGGAAGCCCGGCGTCCTGCAGGTAGAGCTCGCCCGCTCGGCGGGCGCCGAAACTTGGGCCGAGTTTGCGGGCGGCGCGTGGAGAGGGGGTGGGTGGCCTTGCCCCAGGGCGCCCCTACCGGTCGGCCCGGGGATGGTGCGCGCGTGGCCGGGGCCAAGGTGCTGCGGCTTCCGGCGGGAGGGCTCTCGGGCTAGGCTTGTGCCACTGCCCCCACTTTCCTCGGACTTCGAGGCTCCCGAGGCCTGGTAGCGCTCTGGGGCTCCGGCGGGACCCCGGCACCGGGCTGGCGAGAGAGAGCTCAGGCCAGCGCTCGGGCCTCCCGCGGGGCCCGGCTCACGTGGATTGCCCGGGCGAGTTTGAGGGGGCGGTGGGGGCGGCTAGGGCCAGGGGGCGGAGGACGCCGAGACGCCGCGGGGCCCTGGACGCGCCCTGCTGGGATGGGGCGGCCCTGCGGTTTCCTCGCCACCGCTTGACTCACCATCTGGCCGCAGCCCAGGCTGGCAGGATGGCCCCGAGGCGGTGACTGCCCGGACTGTGCGTCCCGACAGCCCCTTACCCTGGGACCTCCCGCCAGTCTGTGGCCGTCGGTCCTTGGGGCTCTGTGCGCCAGCCTGCCGGCGTGCTCACGTGTGTCCGGTGCCCGAACGAGGGGAGAGCTTAGTTATAGAGGGGCATGTGTGCAGATGTGGGCCATGCACGTACGTGCAGGCACGGCTTTGCATGCGTGGCGGCGGCCAGTGTGTCAGCCTGCTGGGGTGCACGTGTGCCCCAGCGCAGCCGGGAGGGGCTTTTGAAGACCCGGAAGGCCGTGGGGTCGGTTGGGGCAGCAGAGCCCCAAAGCGAAGTCGACTGTGGGCCCCAGGCACCAAGATTATGGGCGGGACCCGTAGTGGGGAAGGAGAATAGATCCGATTTTGCTTCCCTTCCACCCATGCTGGATACTGTGGGCTGCCCCAGGTTGGGTTGTAGTGTCTGGAGAGCCCAGAGCCTCAGCTGAGGTAGGTGGGAGGTGTGAGAATACATGTGGGGTGGTTCAGCCCTCCCAAGAGTCCAGATGCTGCCTTCAACTGGGCTGGAATCACCTATTTCATCTTGAGGCCCTTAGGAGGTGGAAGTGGGAATGGGGTCACAGAACTTTAGAGGACTGGGAGTACAGGGGTGGCAGACTCTTCAGGATCCTGCTTGGGGTCCTGGCTGAGGTTGAAGCTCAGCTCGAAGGACCAATAGAACTTCCCTCCCCCACCAAGAGTAATGGGACCCTGTTCCCTGGGGGCCAGCCCTCTCTAAATGTCTGCTTGTGACCTCATTTTGTATGTCAAGGAAGGAGACATACATTTTGTCTGAAAGGGAAGGCCCTTTCTTAGAGGGAGTGTACATTGGGTCCTCCATCTGCTGGCAGGAGATAAGGCCACCTCTATGCCTCTTATTAGAGTTCTCTGCTGGCTCCTTGGAGCCTCCTCTCCTCCCACAAGACTCTGAAGGTCCCAGATGGCCTTGTGTCTATTGACTGGGTCCAGAGGGGTCTCAGAAAGTCTCCAGGGCAAAGGGCATGGGTTGGACTGAGCCCAGGAGAAAAAGACCCCAGTGGCTGAGGGTGGATATAGAGCAGGCTCCAAGGAGTATGTGGGGGAGGTGAGACCAGAGCCAGCATCTAATTAATCAGAGTTCCCCAAGGGCAGAGGGGGAGCTCAGCACCCCCCAAACGTACAACCTCTTCTTGCATCATTTCTGTGGAGTTGATGGGGACTTTTCCCCTAGGATACAGGTCCTTGACATAGGATACCATTAGTGGTTCTGTGGCCTGAGTTCTGATATCCTCTTCCAGCTTCTCTAAACTCCCTGGGGGGTTGGATTCTGGCCCAATGAATCAACTCTTTCTGAGAGGCCCGCCTGGCTTCTTTGTTGTAGGAAGCTAGGAGTGGAGTGGGCATTGCCTTGTCTTTTCTTGACCCCTTCCTAGTCTAACACTGAGCTTCTGGCTGGCTGACATTGGACCCCTGCCATAAGAGAAGAGAGGACTGGTCTTTGCTTGCTGGTGACAGAAACCTGGGACACTTAGCTGGTGGTCTAATCATAGCAAGATAGACCTGATTCATCCTTTCTAACCTATTGAGGGTTTCAGGGAATGGGGTGCTTACTGCGGGAGATAGAGGCTGGTCAGTGTGCAGCAGACAGGTCTCAGATGGAGACCTTCATGAGTCATTAAATGCCTGCTGCGCTGAGGATTCTCTACCCTTGACCTCTCAGGGTCTGGGTTCCCATCCTTGCTTGGCCTTGCTTCAGGGCCTCGGTCTTTCTCTAGCACTTATTTTTTCTATCAGTAAAGTACAGTGGAAGTAGTTGCCAGCTACCACTCTAGGCCCTTGGGACCTCTCTTCCTGGAGAGGGGATGAAAGAGAGAGAGAGAGACACACACATACTCACACCCACACACCCCACATGACCCCATATGCCTTGGAGTAGCAACCCACAGCCTGAGGGCTGGGCGTGGACACGGGCCCTTTTCCCCTCTGCTGGGATCTTCCCGCTGGCACCACAGCACCATCTGGTGGACAGCCTTGACTTTCACTGAGGGGGAGTGGCTTGTATAGATGTAGGCACCCCAGCCACCTCTTCTGGGGGACTGCCTTCCAGACCCCAAGCCTAGTAACAGCATTGGCTGTGGCCCTAGGGACTTGGGTTTGAGACCTGGATCTGCTGTTTTGGGTAAGGCTAGAAGATCAATGGAGTGTCACAAGAAACAAAATTTGAAAACAATGCCCAGATCCCATGTCTTCCATACAGGGGTGTCTTTTGAGATCACTGTGGTATCTTGGAATAGTGGGAATGACAGGCAGGAGCTTTGCTACTTGTTCCATCTCCTTCATCAGTGACTTTGGGATGGATGGGTCTCCATCTATTTTGGTGGGTATAAGCCAAGGCAAGTGATCCTCAAAACTGCCCTAAAATCTGGAACCCCAAGGAAGGGGTCTTGGGAGTCACTTGGAAGAAATCTGAACAGAAAGGACTCCTGGATTGGGGCGAGGGTTATGTGCAGGGAGATTGGACAAGAATTTGTTCAACAAAGGATTTTGTAGCTTAAAAAAAAAAAAATAGAGACGTCTGCATTTATGATTCATGCATTCAGTCTTAACTGAGTGTCTGTTGAGTGTCAGGCTCTTGGGTGGCAGTGAGCCAGGGAGCATGGCCTCTATACTGCTGACTGGCAACCTGCACTTCTAACTGCCTTGCTTCCTTCCCTCTTTCTCCCAGGTCAGCTGTTCAGTAGCAGCGGCCCTGGAGGGCTTGACGCCTTCACAGTGATGGCGGAGAAGCGCCCACTGGGGACTCTGGGGCCTGTGATATATGGCAAACTGCCCCGCCTGGAAGCAGACTCAGGGCCTGGACATAGCCTGCCCCCCTCTGCTGGTAACCAGGACCCCTGCAACTACAAGGGCGCTTACTTCTCCTGTCCCATGGGGGGTACTTCCAAGGCAGGATCTGAACGGTTGGCATCCTGGACCCCATACTCACCCTTGTACTCCACAAGCGTAGCAGGACCGCCACTTCGGCCAGACAGCCTGTTTACCAACTGCCTGCTGTACCGCCCACCAGCGGAAGGTTCTGAGAAGATGCAGGACTCCAGCCCTGTTGAGCTCCTGCCGTTCAACCCCCAGTCTCACACATACCCGGGCCCACCACTGGCAGCACCCAAACCCGTCTACCGCAGCCCCCTGTGTTATGGGCTCTCGACTTGCCTGGGGGAGGGGCCAGCTAAGAGGCCACTGGATGTTGACTGGACCCTGGTGACTGGGCCCCTGTTGTCCTCTGCTGACCCACCCTGTTCTCTGGGCCCAGCTCCTGGGAAGGGCCAGGCCCTGGACAGCACCTTTTTACATGGAGTGCCAGCTGGGGGATCTGGCAAAGACCCCTCAGTGAGTTTCTCCTCATGCCAGGCATTCCTGGAAAAGTATCGGACCATCCACAGCACAGGCTTTCTGGCCTCTAAGTACACAGGTCCTTACTCTGGGGACTCCAAACAAGCAATAGTAGAGGGGCCTTCGAGTCCTTGGACACAGCTGGCTCAGCCCCTGGGGCCACCGTGCCAGGAGGCATTGCCTACCCACTACCCACTCCCTCCCCCTCCACAGGCCCTGCCTTGCCCCCCACCTTGTCGTCACCCGGAGAAGCAGGGCAGCTACAGCTCTGTGATCCCACTGCAGCCTCTGGGAGTCCATAAGGGGACTGGATACCAGGTTGGTGGGCTGGGCAGCCCCTACCTGAGGCAGCAGGCAGCCCAGACTCCGTACATACCGCCAGTGGGACTGGACACTTATTCCTACCCCTCTGCCCCACTCCCAGCACCCTCACCAGGCCTCAAGCTGGAGCCTCCTCTTGCTCCACGGTGCCCACTGGACTTTGCCCCGCAGACTCTGGGGTTTCCTTATGTCCGGGATGACCTGTCTCTCTATGGGGCATCCCCTGGGCTTGGAGGGACACCACCTTCCCAGAACAGTGTGCAGTCTGTGCCACAGCCCAGTGCCTTCCAGCAGGCGTGCCAGCCTTTGCCACCCAGTCAGCCATGCTCTGAGCCTACGAGGCCTGCTGAAAAGCCAGCACAGGAAACCGAAGAAAAGACATGGCTGCCCAGCTGCAGAAAAGAGCAGCTCCAGACCCCGCTCAGCGAACACTCTGGAGCTCCCATTGTCATCCGAGATAGTCCAGTGCCCCGCACCTCACCAGCATTGCACCCCTGTGCCCAAGAGCACCAGTCTCTCCCACAGAAGGAGGGTGCTAGACCGCCTGGCTCTCCACCAATGCCTGTTATCGACAATGTCTTCAGCCTGGCCCCCTACCGTGACTATCTCGATGTGCAGACGCCAGAGACCACAGCTGAGCCAGATTCAGCCCCAGCTACCAGTGAAAGCCAAGACAAAGACTGCAGGGGGACTTTAACTACCCAGGAGGGATCCTCAGAGCCTTGCTGCTCACTTCGGGAGGAGGTGGCCTTGGACTTGAGTGTGAAGAAGCCCACAGCAGAGGCTGCTCCCATTCAAGTCCCTGATCCTACAGTGCAAACCAAGCCCACTGCAACCGTGGACACGCCAGATGCAGGGAACATAGGTTCAGGTCTTTCAGGGCTGAAAAAGATGGTCTCAGAAGCACCTGGGTTGCCAGTGGCCGAAGAGGCCACACCAAGGACCAACTTTCACAGCTCTGTGGCCTTCATGTTCCGAAAATTCAAGATTCTCCGTCCATCACCCTTACCTGCAGCTGCAGACCCGGCCACACCCACCTCAGCTCCTGCCCCTGTACAGCCTGCACTCACCCCATCATCTGTACCCATGGGACTGCAGATTCTCACTCAGCCCTTGCCAGTGGCATGCTTCAACCTGGCCCTGCCTAGCCCTCCAGCCATAGCTGTGGCGGCCCCAGCCTCGACTCTAGCCCCTGCCCCTGCCCCTGCCCCTGCCCCTGCTCCTGCTCCTGCTCCAGCTCCTGCTCCTGCTCTAGCTCCAGCTCCAGCTCCAGCTCCTACTGTAGCCCCAGAAGACACCCCAGAGCAGCGTTTTACAGGGCTGCATGCATCCCTGTGTGATGCCATCTCAGGCTCCGTGGCCCACTCCCCACCAGAGAAGCTGCGGGAGTGGCTTGAGATGGCCGGACCGTGGGGCCGGGCTGCATGGCAGGACTGTCAGGGAGTGCAGGGACTGCTCAGCAAGCTGCTGTCCCAGCTGCAGAGGTTCGTATGCACGCAACAGTGCCCCTTTCCCCACGTGGTGCGGGCCGGCGCCATCTTCGTGCCCATCCACCTGGTGAAGGAGCGGCTCTTCCCACGGCTGCCTCCTGCCTCTGTGGACCATGTGCTGCAGGAGCACCGTGTAGAGCTGCGGCCCACTACACTGTCAGAGGAGCGTGCGCTGCGGGAGCGTGCCCTGCATGGCTGTACCTCACGCATGCTGAAGTTGCTGGCACTGCGCCAGCTGCCTGACATCTACCCTGATCTGCTGGGCCTACAGTGGCGAGACTGTGTGCGCCGCCAGCTGGGTGAGCATGGGGCAGCCCCAGTAGCCACCAGAGCTGTGAGCGAGTGACAGGTGTGTGCACTGTGTGAGTCGGGGGGGGGGGTCACAGCAGATGGCTGAGTGGTTCCCGGATCTCACTCTAYGGCAGTGCCTGCCTTTCCAGGGTGGGCTCTAGGTACCCCTGTCTCCTCCCTCCAGGCATCACTGAGTGCTCTTTTCCCTGGGAACTTTGGTCCTCCTTGGTGCTACCTCTTCCTGGAGCCTCCCTCCTCCTGTGCTTATGCCATCTACATCTTTGGTGTCCTGAGGCTCTGGCCAGGCACTGTTTCCTACTTGTGGTCGCTTCTCCCCATGTCTCTGTCCATCCCAGCCGTCCCTCTTCTGAGTTCTCATCTCAACCCACTGCCTGCTGGAATTGGCAGCTGGGTGTCTCCTGCTCTGAATTCATCCTAACCGTAAACACCCTCCTGAACTGTCCTTTCAGCTCACTTTCCTGTCTTCCTCATCTTGGGGGAGGGGAGGGCATGCTGCTCCCCATGCTCACACTTGATGAGGTCCAACTCAGACGCTCTTGCCTTTGAATGGATCCATCCTTGGGCCTCCCAGCACTGATGTGCACAGCAGTGTTTCCACAAATCGGCATCTTTTGTAGTTTGCTTCCCCCACTGGGTGAATGAGGCCTTGCGCCGTTGTTCTGCTTGCATTCCTTATTTCCCAGAGGACCACGTGCTGCTGCAGCATTGTGTGGTGTGTACACTCATGTTTCAGCCAGGATTGAGCAAGAATGTCCTATCCCCTCTTGTATCAGCGCACCTGACCTCGAGGCCTCCTGCCCACTCAGTGTTTTCTCCCTGCTGACCCCCTGTTCCTGCCCCCAGCCTCTTCTCCAGGCTTCTCTCTGAAGATCCTGTTCCTGGTTTCCTCCCCACCTGGCTGAGTCCTCGTATCTGGGTGGAGGCCCGAGTGCAGAGGTAGAGCTGGGGTTGGGCTGATCAGCATTCCTTGTGCCTAAACACTTAAAASTGGGGACAGAGGTCTCAGTGGAGTGGAAAGAAATGCAAGTGTGACTGTCCTGTCTCAGGAAGAGTGGGCTAGAGTGTGGGTAGTGTCAAGAGCTACACAGCCTCTTGGCTTGTCCTGTCCCTCCCCTGGACCTGTCTGGGACCCAGAGAGGGTCAAGTCTCTTCCTGGGCTGACATGAAAATGATTGGGGCCACATTCCCTCCTGCTGTGACTCCAGCCTACAAGAATTGGGCCTGGCAAAGAAGTGACCAGRGCCTAGCTCTTGCCCCTGGCTAGATTGTCCCCACTTGATTGCTGAGCTATGGGTCCTTCACTGTCCTTGGAGGAGTTACCCATTGTGGGTGCCCCTAGAGAATTTTTCCTGTCTTCATTTCTTTTGGGTTCCTGTGCTCCTCCTGGCATCCAATAGGTGTGTTCTTGGTCAGAGACCCCTTTTGTCCCCTGCTCAACTCCTCCACCCACCTCCCTTCAGGCATTGCTTTGGGGCAGCCTCTGTGTGGGATCTTGCTCCAAARCTCTTGTTCTGACTTTGGAGGTGCTATGGCACCTTACATATGGCTTCCTTACATATGGCACAGTACTCTCTTCCTGTGCCTCACTTTTCCCACATGGCCAGAGTGGTTCCTGACCTGCTGGGCTCCTTCCTCTCATCCTTGCTCCCAAACAGCCTCTCCTGAGCAGTGCTTTCTCATCAGAGTTCTGGAGTCCCTGGGGAGGAGTACACCTTTTCAGCTTGGATGGGCCAGCTAGCAGGTACATGCAGGGAAAGATTATGATGGCTGTGTGGTCCTTTTGGTGCCATCCTGGCTTGGGGAAGAACCACTGTTCTGGTTGGCTTTGAAGACCAGGAGATGGGACCTGAGGGTGCAGGATCTGTAGCCTGACTATGTGCTCATTTTCCAGGTGACTTTGACACTGAGGCTGGAGCTATTCCCACCTCAGAACCCACTGTGGCCAGAGATGAGCCAGAGAGTATAGCCCAGGCTCGGAAGTCACCAGCCCCCAAGGTCAGGAAACCAGGGCGGAAGCCACCAACCCCTGGCCCGGAGAAAGCAGAGGCAACTGCTGGGGTTGGGTCACGTGGTCCCTCACCTACTCCTGCCAACAGCACCGGCCCACCTGGCCCCACGCTGAAGGCCCGCTTCCGAAGCCTTCTGGAAACTGCCTGGCTCAATGGCCTGGCATTGCCCACGTGGGGCCACAAGGCCTCAGGACCTGACCGGCCCCCACCTTGCCCACAGCTACTGGGCAGCCAGAGCCATCACCTGTAAAGTTGGTTGCAGGTGCTGTTGGGACAGCCAAATGTCTAGGATCAGCCTCTGCTTCTGCTGCCCAGGGCCAGGAGTCCATGCTGGGGTATGGCCAATCCCTTGGAGTATCTTTAGCTCTCACGCTGGGGCCTGCGAGGCTGGACTGACTGAAAGCCCCTCAGCTTTTTAACATGAGGGTCTTCATTGGAAAGGACTACTTCCTGTTCTTCTCTAGAGAAAGCATGTGGGCTCTGGAGCCCAACAGACCTGGCCCGAATGCTGGCTGCTGTTCCTTGCTGCGTGACCTGGGCAGACCCTTCGCCTCTCTTGAACCCTCGTTCCCCATTGTAACGTAGGACAACACGGCCTACCTCACAGGGTGGTTGTGGGGAGATGCCTGACACACCCGTTGCCAGATGGTCTCTGCTCCCTGCCTGAGACAGGTCTAGGACCTCAGCCCAGGCCTGGAATAGGAAGCTGAGGCAGCAGAACCTCCTGTTAGATAGTCTTTATGTGTCTTAGGACTTGGTTATCTTAAGAGTGGTACATTGTACAGTGTATATGGCTTGACACACTTTCCCTGGTCTCTGCTGCTGGTGCAGCAATAACAGCCTGGGACTGGTGTCCTTGCAGGTCTGCTGCTCCTGCCCCAGGGAAGCCCCAGGCCTGTCCTGCATTGTCAGCCTCTCCGGTGACTTCCTGAGCTGCCTTTACCCACACCAGGCGTTGACCCAGGAAAGTTGTGTTTTCTGGAAGCCAAGCAGCTACAGGGACTCAGGGACTTAAAGCAGACAGGCTGAGTGGCAGCTCCGTCCTAGGAGGTCTCTGAATTTCTGGACTGGGGACCCTGGTACTTCCCAAGCCAGAGCCTTATTAGCCAGGCTTGCTGTGGGCCACCTCCCTGCAAAGTGCTGAATTGAGCTGGAGGCTGGGGAGCTGGGGCCCTTGGCCTTATTTAAGAGTTTGTGATAAGCCTGTGGACCCTGGGGCAGGCAATTAAAGCATTTGAGTTGTTTTGGAACTGGGACCTGACTCGGTGTTTGAGGGGTTGTGGGTTTGCTGTTGGGTCACCGTGGGCCACTCACAGGCTGCCCTCCCTGCTCCCAGAAGGCACCAAGGGCTTCAGGCACTATGGTGCCCGCCAACTCTGGCCACCGGAGCCCTTCTCACACACCCACTGGCCAGCCACTTCCCCATTTGGGAAAAGCCCTTCCTCCTGACAGTACTGAGAGCCCTGGAAGCAGGAGATACTCCCAAGTGCCCTGTCTCCCATGCGGGTGAGGGGGTCACTGGCCTTCCTCCAGACACCCACCCTTGCTGGGCTCTGCTCCCTGAGTCAGGGCAGCTGCTGTAGCAGCCTGAAGGAGTTTTCCTACTCCACCTGGGCCAGGCCCTGTCCCCAGGGCACATTAGACTTTTGTTGGTGCTTCTAACGGCCCCAGTACACTTTCCCTCTCTGCCTGCCTGGCCTTAAGCTGGACCAGGATTTGGAATGGCATCTGCCATTGCCCCCATACACCATCCACATAGGCCCTGGTGTAGAATGCCACTTTCTGTTCATAGGTACCATACACAGACTAGGTAAGTTTTAAGGAAAACAGGWTTACTTTGGTTCATGGTTCTGGAAGTCCAAAATCAGGGCCATCTGGTGATAGCCTTCATGCCAGCAGAGTCCTCAGGTGGTAGGCATCCATGGCAAGACATAGCATGAGTGTCTTCTGATCCTTCTCATAYAGCCATCAGGATTGTCATAGGGGTGCATCCTCATGACTGGCCTAACCCTAATTAGCTTCCAGAGGCACTCCCCCCCTACCATATTAAGTTTCACCTTTTTCTACCTCACAGAGGGGATTAAAACTTGACACATGAGCCCTTGGGGCACTCAAACTACATCCAAACTGTAGCACCTGGCTTGAGAAGGGGACAAGCCACAACACCACACTGGTCACAGCAGTGCCAACCTGGGGTAGGGGTGGTGGCAAGGTGTTCTGGGACACAGATACCTGAATTAGGCTTTGAAGACAAGTTGTGAGAAGAGGGGGGCTGGTGGCAAGTGTGTGGGTGGAGGGAGGAATGGGATCTTTGGGACCTGGAAGCTGGGTGGGGAACCTGGTTTGAAATCTTGTTTATATTGCTACATCATCCATTGCCTGAGGGAAGGAGTCTGGGCCACGGGGCTCAAAGGAAGCTGGTGTGCAGAGTAGACCACTTGAGGCCACTCCTGTGAAGGAGAATGCAAATTGCAACAGGTGGAGTTGCTCTGAGTCCTGGGCCACCTCAACCTAAGCTAGATTTGGCTGTTTTCTTTCTTGCACACCTGTGCTCTTTACACAACAGTCATACATCTTGCCAATGGCTACATGACAGGGGACCCATGATGGCACAGGCCAGGGTGGGGGTGGTTGTTCCTCAAGAAAACACTGTTCTGGGACCCTGTCCTACCCCACCCTAGCCCCAACCTGCAGCCTGCAAGACCTAGTGTTTCCCTGAGAATTTGGTCTAAGGGAGCCCCAGTTGAGGTGGGCAGATGAGAACCCTACCAGGACTTCTGGTCTGGGGGAGGCAGTGCTGCGTCCTTACTCCCCCGCCTCCTGCAGTTGCTAAGAGCTGAGAGGAAGCAGGGCCCACCTGTGCCTTGGCTGAACGTGGCACTCCAGTCCTCTACTTCCCCTGCAAATATCTGAGGCCGCTGGGCTGGGCTTAGCCAGGACTCAGAAGGAAACCGCCTGGGGAAGGCAGTCCTGGACTCCGTCAAGAATGATCTTAGGTGGAACCCAGGAATCTGGGTTTTAATCAAACTCCCAAGAAGATCTGACCAGATATTCAAGAGTAGCGCCACCAACACTCCTCTCCCTTTGGTTACAGATGGGAACAGGCCCAGGGGTTTGCTGAGGGGCCCACCAGGTCAGGGATTCAACCCTACCTGCTCTGCACTTGGCCAGGGCCCCGTGGGCCTAACCCATACCTGCCGTCAGCTGGGCTCTCTGCCTCAGGTGGCCTTGCTAGACCAGCACGTGCATCTCATCCGAAGCTAATATAGAGATGGAGCTCAGGTGAGGCGCCAGTGGGTCGAAGCCTGACCTTTCAATGCCACGCGACACCCAGCCCAGAACAAACGACAGGGGGTGGAGCAGCCACCTTTGCTGCCAATACAGGTTCTGTCTCAAGTAAGTGCCTGTGGGGAGGAGAGGAGGGGTGTGTCTAGGGTGTTAATCGAGATCCCTGTTCCCTTGGTCACCTCCAGACACCTCCTTCCTTGGTTTGTTTGCTAAGGTGGTCGGGCTGGACAGTCCAGGCCTCCTCACACCGTAGAGGGCACTGTGAGCAGGGGCCCWCTCTGACCTGACTGGCCGTGCCTCTCTGACCCCATGGTTTCCCTGTTGGAGGGGTGAGCAGAGGGATGTTTCCAGTCCATGGGGCTGTACCCCCAGCCCAGCCTGCTTCCCCAGCGGAGGGAGGCTGCTGGGTGCTCCAGTCAGCAGGCACTGGACCTTGCCGCTGGCCATTGTCCTCTGTGTTCTCAGAGTCTCCTCCCTGATTGGCTTCCCCAGCCCCTACCTTCAGACACCCGCCAAGAGGACCCCCGGCCCAGCTCAGTGCAGCCTTTCCTCAGCTTCCAGTGACAAGAATGGCTGCAGGACAAGGGAGGGTCCTGCAGAGCCCCTCCTGTCCCTTCTCCCCAGCTGACAGGGACCCCTGTGCTAGGCTGAGGCTGGCAGGCGGTTGGTGGCTCCCTGGGAACACTGCTGCCTCCACACCTCCTGATGACCCTCAGCCTGGCCAGGCCACTTGCCTCTGTCCTAGAGGGACCCAGCTCCCAGGTCCCTGTGGCTTCTTGCAGTAAGGAGAATGTGGGCAGCTAGGAAGGGCCTCAAGAGTCCTCTCCTGAGTATAAAACCGTGTAGGGATCTCTTCTGTCTCTACCAGCTTCCAGATAAAGGCACCCGCAGACCCCTTGCCTCCTGTGATCAGACTGGTGGGGCTCAAAGCCCTAACTCCAGCCTCTAGCTCCTCTCCTTCCTTAATTCAGAGCCCGGAACTCCAAGCTTGGCAGCTGCTTCTCTCAAACCCTACAAACCCTCAGCTGGAAGTTTGGGCCTCTGTTCTTCCTCCTGGGGCCCAGACTCCCAGCTGCTATGAGTAGGCTCAGGGAGGCACAGGTTCTCCAACAGACCTAGGCTTCTCTGCCTCCGTGTGTCACCTCCCCTGAGTGGGAGAGCTGGGGTAGTCCCAGCTAGCCCTCCCTGCTACCCCTCAGCTTGCCATTCCCTGGCTTCATGGACACAGGACCGCAGCTTCCAGAGGCCAGGTCTTCCCCAACTCTGCTCACCACTAACCTAGCATCTCCAAGCCCAGTGGACAGCAGGGGTCTCCCACACTAAAGAACTGTTCCTCACCAGATCTGCTGGTACTTCCTCAATGAAGCCTTCCAGCCTGTTGGGGCGCCCCAGCCCCCAGCTTCTAGTAGCTCAGACCCATCCATGTGCTGCCAGTATGGAAACTTCTGGTTCTGGGGTACTGTTCCATCAGGGAACTATTCCAACTGGGGGTACTGTTCCACCTGTGGGTACTGTTCCATCTGGTAAGATGGGAGCACCCCTGGTAGCAGTGGCCCAGTGCCACCCTCAAGCAGGGCTTGTTTCTTTCCAATTGGCAGACAGTCCCAAAGCCCCAGTGACATCTCAGTGGTCTATGTTCCATCCCCCTGTGTCCCCGTTCACAGAAGTGTCCAGCTCCAGTCTGGGCCTGGAACTCAGATACCTTCAAGTTGGAGGCCGTGTCTGGCAGGGTGGACCAGCATGGCCTCACCATGGCCAGGGCAGGAACCACATTAGGGACCCCAGGCCTGACCACCGCAGTCTTGAACCCTCTACTTCCAGCTTATGAGCATCACCTACACGCTGCTCCTTGTGAGTCCAGCCTCTGCCAGCCTCTATCAGCTCAGTCATGAGGTCAAGCTGACAAGGAGAGAGAATAGCGCTACCCTGATAGGGGCTAAGCAGCAGGTCAGCTTGGGGAGCAGGTAGTCGAGGGTGTGAGGCTCTGTCCAGGGCTGTCTCCTATTATCTTCCCCCTTTTTCCTCAAGCATGGTTTCCATGTCTCTCCCTCACCTCAGCACACACGACCCTGGCCCTGGCCTGTCTTCTCTTGAAGGAAGTCCTTTGTTTTGTGACACATGTGAGGTCCCTGTCTGCTCATCAAAGAGGGCAAACAAGCAGAAAGGTTCTACCAGGGCCCCAGCTCGTAATGGCGGAGTCAAGACCATCCTTTCCCAGAGTGGTCATGCCTAGTGGACACCAAGCTTAAGAGTCCTCCCTCAGAGCCCCCTTCTCACCCCAGTTCAGGCGCATGCTGTCCACCAGCCTGGTTTCCTCAAAATCCATGCATTTTCTTTCTGGTAAGTCATCTTGTCCCCGAGGTGTTGAGGGTGCTGTTAAGCCCAGGGTGGGAGCCCTGTCCAGCCTCTTCACTGTCTGCCTTCAAGGCCCTTCCCGAGAATCCACCGGGTGAATTCTCTCTCTGCTTGCTGGCTGTGGCCAGGAGGCAGAGCTGGGTGGAGGTCTAGGATGGATTCTGCCCACCGGCTTGGATATCTGTAAGCCAAAGTGCACCAGCACATGGATAGCCTGCTTCTCCTGGTGCAGGGACCTGGCCTCACTCAGCTGCAGTGGTGGATGCAAGAGTGCCTGCTATCTTCCAGAACATTCTCACCACTCCACTTGGGTTCACTAGAGGGTCCCATGAGAAAGTCACCTCTGACTGCCCTGAAGCCCGGCTCAAACCTATCCTGTGATTATGAATCTTTCCCCGAAGGATCATCTCCCACCACCAGGCCCTGAGGACCCCTCTCCTTAGAACTTCATGGGGTGGGTGTGGTGCTGGGGATTGAACCAAGGGCCTTGTGCATGATAGGGCCGGCACTCTACCACTGAGCCACAGTCACAAGATCTTTTTATTTTTTAAAATTTTGAGGCAGGGTC